CCATCTTTCCACATTATCTCTTCTGACAAGGATTCCAATCTTGATTTCGACCAATCACAGTGAAGTGCCAGCAGGCTACAAGCATCTTACGGACATTTAGGAGTAATTACTTTGGACTTGTTCTTGTTTGGACCAGTGTTGCAAATAGCTCGCGTCAGCTCCTGAGCCCAGGCGAAAATTGCACCGCATTCCCTTTTCTCCCTTTTATTTCTCCCCTCAGAGGAAACTCAATCAGGAAATTTCTAATACCAGGCTCCGCATGGAACTCTTTGCATGACTGGGAAGTATTGCTCCGGCAATAGAAACCCAGTACAATACAGTATATCACAGTATCACGAAGTTAAACAGCACTGCAAAGAAACAGGTGAGCTCTCCTACGGTCGCTGCAACCGAATTAAGCTTAACATGTCCGAAGCAAAATACCCGAGACTCATAATCCCTAAAAAAGCCAACAAACACATAAGTAAGCCCATATTAGAAATGAAGGGACATAGAATTAAAATCACCAGTGCATACATATACCTCGGACTGATGGCGTGATTTAAATTTATGCAGCCCTTTAGTGAAAAAAGCAGTCGGCTTTCGCGATGTTATTTCTTTTGTCTTTTTCGCTGGTGAAAACCCTCAGCAAAATAGGATTTGAACCTTCGTATATATTTCTCGTAGAACATTCAGTTCCTTTGAAGCGGTATTTCGTGAACTGATGTTCTTTCTTATAATTTATTTCCTTCAGAAACATTTCTTTTCAGTATTGACAAAAAAGTTTTGACAGTTATCTTTCCATAAGTTTTGTATTTTTATCAAATTCTCTTAAGTTGTATCTTTCAGGGAGACTGCTTTTCGTTTTCTAGATATTTTAACTTCAAATTAAAGTAAACCCCAAAGGGCACTACTTCAGTTAAAATATATTTAGCAAATAATAGAGCAATAAAGCAATTTTTTTTTATTTTAGTCTCAATTTCAACATAAAGGTAAATTTCTGCTACAGTCGATTCGAACGATATAGTCTAAGCCAGAACATTAAAATAGAATAAGCTGGCTCATATATTTTTCTTGCACGCATATAATGCGTCAGCTAGCGAGAAAGTTGTAATATCATCTTTAATCAGTCTGCCAAAAAATACTCTTACAATATCTTATCTCATTTAAACCAGTTATTATGATTACATTCTTTACTGTAGCGTCTCCTTTTTGTATTCCTCTCGAGAATTAGCTTTGTGTGTATTTAAGCTGAGGGTTTCGAATCTTTAGTTGAGAGAGCTTGTGGCAGTCGCGTTCCTGTTAGTATTTTTCGCCAGTCGACTCAGGCGAACGCAGTTCGCAAACATCAGGCACCCACGCGGCAGAGCTATCCTGGGCTAACCAGGTTGACGATTTTCGATCTGTAATAATGCGTCCGAGTATAGAAGAGGGAGAACATTAGGTTGAAAAACTCGTAGGGAAAAGCAATTATAGAGTTTCCGAAGTAGACATTACGTCTATCAGGAACAATGTAGGAGATGGAAAAAGTCCTCGATGAAATGTTTCAGAAATACACCAGTGTCTACGCTCAAATTAGGCTGGGAAATTCAAGTAAGATGAGAAGTGCTTAGGAGGAAGCGAAAATTAAGGAGTGCAAAAATACCCAGCATTCTTAACCAAAACAAGAGATGGTACCAAAAGTTAAACAGTTAAATATAAACATTTAAATACAGAAAAATACATATTTTTTAAACATTCTATTACATAATTTTATAAATGTATTATAGAATTAATTTTTGAGAGACCCACTGAGCATTAGCACAAAATAAGCGACATAGGAAGTTAAGTTAATTTAAAGCGTTTATTTCCTCCATAACAGAGTAGAGGATGTTAGATTTAGTACGTAAGTCATTTGCAGTCTGCACAACAGGCAGTTTACTTTTAAAAATTTGCGTGACCTTGTGTAGGTTAGTTCCAAATGCTCTTTGAAATTCAAATAGAATTTTCATTAGTCCCAATAATTCTATCAGATTACTGCCGTTTGGCAAACTACTGGAGTTCATGCAGTTTCTACCGTTTGTGAGATTTGTAGAAAAATTTAAGTCCATAGCAGCAGGTTCCGAAGAGGAATTGGCATTTTGTTCTTCACTACCTGATTTTAAAGTCTGAGCATAACTCACACCATTGTGGCGATCAGAAGAGGGCTTTTTAGGTTAGGAAATTTTTCACAACCCCTATACGAGGTTGGGTGACTCTCTTTTCCAGACTTGCAGCACTTAGAGACGTCTAAAGGCCCGTCCACACGAGGACGCTCCCGACGTAGTTGACGTAACATTTTTGACGCCGGCGTAAATTCGCCTGACGCAGAAGACGTAAAACTGAGTACGCTCCTGTTCAGCTTTTCGCCCGCGACGCGCGCGTATAGCCAATAGCCGACCGAGTTCTTATCACGGTCAAATCAGAAAACCTTCTGCTTACCCGTTTCAATATGGTGTCAGAACCACACAGAGATGAGTTTTGCTTAGAAATAACTGTATACAGCAATACAATAATCAGCATTGTTCACGCCATCTTCAGATTCTCAAACCGTACATATTGGTAATAAATTTAAAATTCTCATTAAAGGGGAAAAACTGTATATTTATAAAGCAATGATCCGACCAGTATATCCATATGCAACCTATGTAACACCGTAAGTAATAGAACCTAAATAAATTACAGTTCCTACGAAATCAAAGTTTCTGCCTTACAAAATTCTCCTTAATAATTATAAATATTGGCTATATCATGTGTAATAAAAAGCTCTATAATTATCCCAATATTAAATACACCAAAAACTAACTTCAGCAATATAACAACTAAAATAAAACAGTTGACTTCAATAAAATACAATTACGAAATTTTGGAAGAAAGTTACAACTTGTGTCATACAGCAATCATTTATTGAAGTTTAATTAAATTACCTTTGCAGCGACTTCTACTTGTTACATTATTTTTCACAAACACTGCTATCAGGTATAGCTGAGTGGTCAGCGCGCTGCTTTGGTGGCGGAGGAATGGAAAGGTGGCGAGTTCGAGCCTTACCCGTAGACGGTATATAATTCACTTAGCTTTTCTCATTTTGAAACGTTTCTTATTTATCAGAATCATTACATTCTTATTTTACCTATTATTATTGTTTTCATTTCTTATTTATTCATTATTATTATTGTTTTAATTTAGTTTAAAAATGTGCAGTGCAAATAGAAATCCTTAGTAATAATAATATGCATCTCTTTTTCATATATCATCTATAAATTCTCTTTATTTTACTTTATGCATATTTTTCATGCAAATAATTTCTCATAAGATGTCCAAAGTTTGAACCCATTTAAATCAAAAATAATAAAAAGAAACAAAAGAGCAAGGGAAGGGAATTAAAAAATAGGAATTAGGTTTATTATGGTGGATGGTGTTGTATATAAAGAGAATTAAGTATTTAATTCTCTTATATACTGTATTCCAAACCAATTTTATAAATCCTAAATTTCATACGATATAGATCTGTAAGTCTCAAACTGGTCGATACTCAGCCTGAAGGAATTAAAAAAAACAAGTAATATACCCCCAAAAATATTAATTCCTACTTAGGTCCACAAAGAAAAATTTTAAAATGCAAAAAAATAAATAAATAGATAAAAATACAAACAGAGTTTTTTAAAAATTTTAATATGTGAAAAGCTGTATTAAACATGTGTCATCACTACAAGTTTAAACAATGTATCTGAACTTGAGTGGATGAAAAAAAAGCATTTTATGTACTGAAAATCTGAACAAGATATAGGGAGAGTGTGAGCTAATAGTAGGATTTAATAATTCGGATATCCTCCGCAACAGGCAGTAGTAAAAAAAAAAATTCTCTTTGAACAGGTCGCTCTAAATAAATCTTCGGACGCATGCTTGCCATTTTTGCGGTTTTGCCTTGTTTAGCACTTAAAGTAAGTTTCAGCGATAAAAAAAAGTCATCTGATTCGGACAACGCAAAAACATACAGAAGAACAGCGAGATAAGATACAGCTTTGTGCTATATACATCGTCCGTGATTTTGCGCAAAATAATCTAGGTTAAAACGCCTGACGCGAGGACGCACGCTGGGTAACATAAAGCGCGTTCGTCAGCTACGTTTCGAGCGTCTGTGTGGACGGGCCTTAAGGTCCTTTAGAATCCTGAATCTTATTTCCAGCGCATTTCCATCGTGGGAAAAATGACAATTCTCCGAGGAGGGTGCCATTTCTGGCAGTTTAAGCACTGCGAGACTTGGAATTTCGAAATATATTTTTCCACCGTAACTGAAAATAGGAACAGGTCAGTTTATGGAGTTGATTGATGACTTATTTAAGTAACTGTACTTGAAATAAGGGCATGGCCCGAGTCTTATTTTTTCAGCTGCACTTTTTGTGAACTAATCCTGCTAAACCAACTCATCTTTGATGAGCTACATCCATTCCGACGGTAGACCTCTCAGTAGCAGCTTAACAGGCTTTTCATGCTTAAAATTGACTACAAAATGATCGATGCCGTTTTCGAGAAAGTGTTTACTCAGAGTCCTATGATCCTTATTTTTCGCCAGTCAATCGGCCATCTAGAACTAGAGATCTAGAACTGTCCCCTTTTTTGACTCCTTGTACATTCATGTGTATATGCACACATGCTTACACACAGACCTAGGTTTCCGAAACCGATCCCGAGAACAAAAAAGGTACTTTTCGTTTTTGTGCATTGCTACAAATAATTTACTTTATTCATGTTCGAACTTTTAGTTTTTAATTAGTTGAATTTTTTGTCCTTAACTATTTAATGTAAAAAAATCTGCGTATATAATTCGTAAAATGGCATATGTTTACATGTATATTATTACAAGATAATGTATTCATGTCTGTGTAGATAAATTTTCGTAGTGTCAGTAACGAGTGCCGCTAGTGACAAACTCTTGGCGTTCTTTTTTTTTTTAATGTTATTGGCAACGTTTAATAACTTGAGGTCGTCCGGTGTATTTCCGTATTTTTCGCTATTGTCAGCTAGCTCTTTAAATCTGAGCTTATGATGCCCAAACTTTAAATTTTAATGCAAATTTAAGTTGAGCATGTGTGTCAACAAATACTGTGATAATATACTAATCGTGAGTATGTTCTTCCTACAGCATTAACTAAACACAAAAATAGTAAATCCACCAGGAATTCTCTGCTGGTGGGAAATGAGCTAATATTAGAAACCGTGTTTGTTGTATTTTATTAGCACTGAAAAATATTTTTGCTGAGTTATTATTTACATTCTGATCTGCATGACCTTCTTTTTGCATTCTGTTTGCTTTTTAGACTTGAATGTGCTAAGTGAATTTTATTAAAGATTTTAAACTCTAAAGGTATATGTGAACTTGTAGATAAATCGGTCTTTTGCTAAAATTTGTATTTTGTTTTTCGATGCATTTCGTATAAATAGGATTGATTAATTTATATTTATCCTTTCAAAAATGCAATATCTGTAGCATTTTAACAGCTACTGCATATCCTAACAAAAAGTTTTATGTTATTATATTTTAATATATTTTATTTTGTATTTAATCTTTATAGATTAATTTATATAAAATCTGTGTTTTTGTATTTTGGAAGGTGGGAAAAAATGAAATAAAAGTATTATATGCTGTCTATTCTGTTTTTTAGTATAAGATTTGTAAATATAACTTTGAGTATGTTTTACATCTTTATTTTAATGTTTTAGATCTTTTTGAGTAATAGTCCCTCATGATGGATTCAGAACAAGATTTGAATCCCAAAGAATCTCGTCCAGAATCCGTGACTTTGAAAAAAGGAACATTATGGCAGCAACGAGATAAATTTTTTAGCCGGTGGAAAGAAAGATTTTTTATTCTTACAAGTGACTATCTAGCGTGCTTCAAAAAAGCATCAAAAATTGGAATATCTGAGATGGGTGGCTTCTTATATAAGGTAAAAGTTTTGTTAGTCACAACTAATTGCATTTCGTAGGTTGTCCATTTATAAGAGTGTCATTTCATGTTTATGTAGTTTTATTTTCAACTGGAATTAAATATAATTTAATTTGATTTCTTTTTGAAATTTAAATGTCATAAATACTTGTGTACTTTATCTCTGGAGGGGGAAAATTTGTGGTGTATACTGTTTCTGAAGAGATGGCTTAAATTAGTGATCTCAAACTCAAATTGTATGTAGGCCAAAACAATTCAATAATCTCATAATTTGTAACTTTATTTCTAATAGCTGTCATATCCTGGTGCATATAATCAGAGTCTATCAGAAAATTTTCTGAAAATTCAATATTTTTAAAATCCTGAGTATGTTTATAATTCAGCAATAACTGTCATGTGAGAATCTAAAATTTCTTAAGTTAATGTCACACATTTGAGTTCTTTCTACTTGTTATCTAATTTTATTCTTGATTGAGCATTTTGCTACTACATTATCTTACCTGGAGATATTTTTGTAGCATAAGGACCCATTTTATGAATCTTGATAAATTTTTCCCAGAATACAAATGAACCACAGCAGTATGATTTGTATATTTATTGGGGATTTCTGAATCTCCAAAACAGCTGCTACATTTCCTTTTCTGTAGCCATATAATTTTTCCGAGTTGGATTAAGAGTCTTACTAAAATATGCAACTGGCTGACAATCTTAAATAAACATAAATCTTACTGCATGATCTGATGCATCTGTGGCAATTTCCAATTTCCTGTTACCTTCAGGATGTTACAAAACTGCATTTGAATTAATGCTGTTTTAAGGTTTGAAACGCTGTGTTCACTTTGGCTGATGTGTAAAACCTGGCTTTTTTTTCTTTTTAATTTCAGTAATGGTTCTATATGGGAAATATCTTTGGTAAAACTCGTATAATAGGAACCAAAACCAAAAATGAAGGCAACGTCTTTGCTGTATTAGGTGAAGAATAATTTTTTATTGCAATTATTTTTGGTAAAATCCTAGGAGAGCCCACACCACACTTGGTGACAAACTGGGAAAGTGAAGAATCATCCACTGCTTTGTGGGTTTTTCAAAATCACCAACTTGAAAAAAACAAGTCAAAAAGTTGCACAAACTCGGTATCCATCTACACATCGACCTATTTTCACTTTAAAAAAATCCCAGAATTGCACAAACTTGGCATTGCACACTCCCTTGACTTTGTCCATGTACACGTCGATACACGCTATATAAGTGAGCGAGCCAAGGGTGTAGACTCTGTTAGGATTCAACCTTATTTTGTAATCTTCTGTCTCTATATCCTTTGAGATTATAGTCTAAATAATGAAATTTCTTGGCTGCAAATTTGCAGTTGACCGCATTATATTTTTGACCATGCCTCCTTCAGAACTTAATACCTAATGTAAATCTCGAATATTGGTTTTACACATATTTAAAAATACCCAGAGTAAGATTTAGTGTCATTAGCCCAAAGGGGCAATTTGCCCATAAGGGCTATTAATTTCATTTTGGCATTTTGCATTGGTTCACTATAAACAGCGAATTACTTTTCGTATTGTTGCCACCAAATATTACAACCCTATATTATAGAAAAAAAAAAAAATAATGAAGAATCTGATACGGTAGTGGTTTCTTGCATTGTGATAAAGCAATGTACCTAGAGCCATCAAATTTGAATAATGTATGTTCCACTGGATATGCGATCTGGAAGCCAGATTCGGAATTCTTTATTATTCTATCTTACAAGCATTATGAGTTTTTGATTAAGAAATTCAATGATTTCAAAGTGAGCAATGACAATGCTGTACCAAAAAAAAAAAAAAAAAAAAAAAAAAAAAAAACTCTCCCATGTGCAAGATTGTGTATTGGTAATTCTAAAGATATGCTCTTTTAAATATTTTGTGATATTGCTGTTTAATTGAATTTTATGGTTTAAGTGGGAAGAACATAATATTTAATAGATGTAGGTAACACACAAAATGTTAATAAAAGCCCCTGTGGTCGTAATATAAAATCTGAAAGCGTTCAGATTTTTTTTTTAAAAGTATAATTTGGCGATTTAATCTTTCTAATTATTTCTTTGATTATGGGCAGTAAATAAACAGCATATTTAGTATGCTATTTAATTTTTAGTAATCCAAAATGGCATGCATTATGGTCTGTTGTGAGATTATCATGAATTGGGGAGATATTGGTGCTGAATGTGTGTGCTGAATGAATTGGGGAGTCCAAAATCTGTACGTCCATTATCCGGAATGATCTAAAATCTGGACTTCGAAGCCACAAACTTTTCCTGTATTACTGTTTTATGCATGCGCATTTGATTTTTCCTTCCATAATAAAACATGTGGATCTTTTCACTTAAAAATTCCGATTCTTAATTTCAGGTAGGCAGTAAATAAATTACTTTGTTATGGAAAAACAATCATGTAAGCATAAATTTGTGAGATTAATAATTTGGTTCCATAGCTGAGTATTTACTTGGCATACATCTCAAATCGAAACATTCACCTATTTTATATCCCTGACGCTGACCTGGCGAGTCAATATTTATTATATTTTGCTTTCATCACCGCATGTTTATCAATACATGACAGCTTCAGTAATAACCCATGCTGTGATGTCTAAACTTTTTTTTTATATATTAGTAAATGAATAACAAGAGTATGGCAATCTTATGCTTGGGGATGATTATAGATTTTTTTAAATGCTGTAAGAAATGTTGACGAGGAAAAATTCAACAAACATTTCTTTTCACATGCTAAAAATAGATTTTGTTAATGAAACTCATAGGCCAAAATATTGCATTTAATGCTATTTAAGAATAACTATAAACCCAGAAGCGGCGGCAGAATATGTTGGCACCAGAGGGCAGAATTTAGGGAAGACTAAATTTTTGGAATTAGAGGAAGCACCGAGTGGCAAAATTAAGGGATGAGAAGTATTAGTGATTTAGGGAAAGCACTGGGATCCAAAGTATAGGCACCATAAAAATTTATAACTCAGGAAAGCACTTTGTAGCAGAATTTAGAACCCATAGAGACTGCATCAAGCGCCGGCCCTAGATAAAGTATATGTGGGAGTTTATTTATTCAGGATTCGAATTGGTTTGAAGCATGTGCAAGAAATAAACGTATAGTAAATAACTAAACTAATAGAATTCAGGCTTAATTCAGTACGCAATAGGAGCAAGACAAAATTTAGTGAAACTACTTGGATTTCGTCGCCAATCTTGTGATACCAGCCAATAATGTATAACTGGCACTATAGTCAGGCTAAATTATCTTTAGATTCTAAGCATTTCAATCAATGTAGCAGACGCGCTGCTCCTGATCTTCTAATTTATCCGCTTATTATTTTTTGTAAACTGTTATTATTACGGCCAATTATAAAACTAAGCTTGAATTTCGATTAGGTCGAAAAGAGTTTCCAAGGATTACAAAGTGAAATCTGTTTAATGTCCATTAAACAAAAACTGGAATTAACTCAAAAAATTGATAAAGGCATACCGTCTCAAAATTATGAGGGAGTATGGCCTTGGAAGTCCATGTAATGATACAAGAAAAAGAACTTTTGAATTTTTTGCGGAAGCATCTTAAACAACTTACATTGAAAGAAATGTTTAATAAAGTAAACAAATTAATATTATGCTTTTTTTTTTTTTTTTTTTTGTAAATTTTAATACTCTTTAGATCATAATTGCTCTTTATTTCATAATTTCTGCATGCCATCTTACCAGATTTAAATTTATGATCTATGATCCGGAATCGCCGAAGTCCCGATGAGTCCGGATTATGGACTGGGTACTGTAATTGTAATCATCTATCGTAATGGCATAACTAAAAATTTTGGGCCCTCAGGCAAAACTTAAAATAAGTATCTCTGTCTCTATATATGTGTGTGTGTGAATATAGATATATTCTAAATGTCATAATTGCTGTGAAATGGCAGCTGCAGTAAGATAGCTTCGTAAAGAACGGATAGGGTTGCCAGAAAGTGACAGGGAGAGGATTCTAGAAAGCATTCTATGCGTTTTTCCTTGGGAATGTTCTCAAAGGTAGATTAAAGCTATATATATATGTGGCGTTCTGACAGATACTTCAACTTCTATTCATGAGATGGTGCCACGTGTAAAATCCAGTTCTTAATCGGAGCAGCAAAGCAACGTCATTACTCACTCAGACTTCTCGAGAGACCAACTGTACGTGACGGTAGGTGAACTGTGTTCGAGCTCTGCGTTGATTCTTCAAGTAATTTAAATTGTCTTTAGTAATTAATATATTCTTTGGTTATAGGAGATTGTCTACTCTTATTTCTTTAAGTTATCATGATTAAGCCCACGACCACAAAAGTGGTTACCTTTTGACTGACACAAGACAATGGATTTCAAAGACCCTAAGCCCGTGCATCCAAGCATTGAAGAATGACTAAATAACAACGAATATGGACATAAATGTATTGCTACAACGTAACCTTTCAATTTTTAAAATTGATATATATTGCTTGTGTTTTTTCAAGTCAGCATATCATCGCAAGGAGCTTCAGCAAATCATCAATTGTGATCTGTTCCGTTCCGCTGACTTTCAGTCGTGCAAATTCTTCGATCATTCAACTTTTGTGACAAATGTGATACAATAGTGATTCGTAAATGTGCTACATCAGTAATTTTTCTCTGAAAAGTGCTACGGCAAAATTTCCCTCAGTGTTCGAAGTAGTATTTTTTTTTTCCCATGGGCTAGGGGAGGATTCCTTTTCCTTGAATGCCTTAGCATTGGCAAGTGGTGATTTGTGTGTGCGCAATACAAAATGAACGCATCATTTTTTTCTCAAATAGGGGTTTCTTTTGAAATGCATTTCGGTAAAATATTATTTGTGCGTGTATTGCTGACCCTGTCTTTTTGTTGTGTAGTTACGTAAATTTTTTTGCATGGTTAAAATATTTATTGTTATCATGGTAATATCAGTAATCAATAGTATCATGCTACA